TGAAGAAAGAAGTTGAACAGAGTTTAAGACCTGCTTCAGAGTTCATGATGATGAGTTGCTTCGATTTAGAGGAAGATTGTACATTCCTGATGACCACAACTTGAAAAGACTCATCTTAGTGGAAGCACGTAATTCTAGGTTTATCATACACCCAAACATCACTAAAATGTATCGAGATTTACGACCTCGGTATTGGTGGAATGAGATGAAGAAAGACATCTCTGAATTTATTAGTAAATATCTTACATGTCAGAGGATTAAAGCCAAACATCAAAAGCAGAGGGATTACTCCGACCTCTACTAATCCCAGAATAGAAATGGAAACACATTACTATGAACTTTGTGATGGGTTTGCCTAGAACTAGATTAAACCAGGATACTATTTGAGTGATAGTGGACTGATTAATGAAGTCAGCCCATTTTCTATCAATAAAAACTACATAATCCTTAAATAAATTTATCAGGTTATATATTAAGGAAGTTATTAGACTTCATGGAATTCCAGTATCAGTAGTTTCAGATTGAGATACTCGTTTCACCTCTAAGTTTTGGATAAGTCTTCAGCAAGCCTTAGACACCATCTTATCTTTTAGCATAACATTTCACCCACAAATAGATGGCCAAACAGAAAAAATCATCTAGATATTAGAAGATATGCTTAGTGCTTGTGCACTAGAGATGGGAGGAAATTGGGACGACCATCTACCATTGATCGAATTTTCCTATAATAACAGCTATCAGATCAATATTAGTGCAGCTCTATATAAAGCACTTTGTGGTAGACCTTGTAAAATCTTCTGTATGTTGGGAAGAGATTGAAGACAAAAAATTAATTGGACTCGAATTAATTGAAAAAACTACATCAAAGATCATCCTAATGAAGAAAAACCTTCAAACCACCAAGATTAAACATAAGAGTTATGCAGACCACCGTACAAGGGGCTTAAAATTTGAGACAAGGGATCATGTATTCTTAAAGGTGTCACCAATGAAGGGTCTTATAAGATTTGGAAGAAATCAAAAATTGAGTCATCACTTTATTGGACTGTTCGAAATATTGGAGAGAATTGGAACTACTGTTTACCGATTGACTTTGCCACCAGAGTTGGCTAATGTCCATGATATATTTCATGTATCCATGTTACGCAAATATCATCTGGATCCTTCGCATGTAATTCAGTATGTAGAGATTCTTATTGAGAAATATATATCTTATCAAGAGATGCCCATAGACATATTGGATAAACATGAATGAGTATTAAGGAACAAGACTATTCTGATGGTCAAAGTGTTATGGTGATATCATTCACTAGCAAAAGTTACCTGAGAGACTGAGGAATCAATACGTGCACGATTTCCTCACCTGCTTTAGAGACATATCAAATTTAGAGTACCAAATTTTTGTAAGGAGAGAAGATTTGTAACATCCAACCCCAAATAAAATAAAAAGAGTAAATAAATAAATAAATTGAGATTGGGATGTAAATGAAATGGATTTTAAAATTTTTGGGTTTTTATTTAATTTCAAGGATTTAAATAAAAACATGTAATAAAGGATAAATTTATAAATAAATAAAAGTGGAAGGGGGCAAAGAAAATTAGAAAAAATAGATGATCCTGATCGAACCGTCTGAACGATCCAACATCTGAAGTTTTATTGAAGATGAACAACCTAGATCAAACCTTGTGAGATCCAATAGTTGAGGAGGACGGGTATAAAAAGAAAAAAAATAGGGTTTTTCTTCATTTGTGAGAGTAGCCAGAAAAGAGAGAGGGAGAATGAGAGAGGAGCCGATCAGGGAGAGAGAAGGAGATGAGATTGTCACACAGGGGAAGCCGAAAGGAAAAAAGAATGAGAGGAAATGAATAGGGAAGCCGGAGAATGAGAAGAGGAAGGAGAAAAAAAGAGTGGCCAAGTGGGAAAGGGAAGGGAGAGGCGAGAACAGCCGCCGCGAGGGAAGAAAAGGGAAGAAGAGAGAGGCGAAGGGGAGAGAGCGGTGGAAGCCAAGCTGAAAGGAAGAAGAAAGAAGAGAATTGGTCTAAGACGCTGTGTGATGGCGGAGACTGAGGTAATCGAGATAAAAGCTCGTCCTTTTCGTTTTTTTTCCCCTATTTCTTTCAATCCTTTTTTATTTTTGTTCATTATTTAGTTTGTAAGTTTAAAAATCATCATCTGAATCCCAAGTAAGCTAGAGAGTCGCGGGGTGGTCAAGAAGACAACTAGGAGCCAAACCGAGGCCGAATCACCCCACGCTGGAAAGGTAAAGCTTTTTTTTTGTATTTTTAGTGGCTGTTGAGCGACGGTGGAGTGGGGCTGGTGTCAAGCTAGTCGTGAGAGCTTGGCCGGGTCACCCACCCACGTGGGAACCGAGAAGCTTTTCTCAGGAATGGGGAAACGAACCCACCCGTGGAAGCCGAAGGGTTTTCCTCAGGAATGGAGACTAGATTCACCATTCAGGAAGCTGAAAAGTCTTCTTTATATATGGAAATCCGATCCGCCAAACGGGAAGCCAAAAGGCCTTCCCCAGGTACAGATCTCGATATTTTTGGATATTCCGTCAAATTGTCATTAAAACTCGTAAATTCAATTAAATTTAAAATTATATTAATTAATTTGTGTCGTGTGCGTACAGGGAATTAAGACGTTCAGGCGGATCCGGGAAGATTGTTGCATAATAGTGTAAGTATTTCTGATTCTGAACCTAGATTCAGATTTTTGAAATTGCATGTATTTTATTAATTTATGTATATTTTAAAATTCAAACGGATACTGACCCAATTTTCGATGAAGAAGAGAACTCGAACAGATAACCAGTGAAGATAAGCTATTGGAAATTTATGAGGAGATGAAACCAGAAAACAAACCCAAAGACTAAGGAATACTCTGCCTGTGATGATAAATGGATTTAAACCTAAAAAGAAATTATTAATTAAGTGGAAAGTTGAAAAAGAAAATCAAATAATATAAAAAAATGAATAAAAAATAAAAAAGATTAATTATGGTGATGAAACGATCAATTTAAATAAAATTTCAAATAAAACAAAATAAGAGTAAAATAAATGAGAAATCATAAATGAGAGGATGTGAGTGATTAGGGTTTGGACCCTGAATGCCTTTTTCGTTTAGTCTGAATCGAGGAGGGGAGTGTGTATATGTGGCTAGAGTTCAGCGAGCATGATGAACCTGCACATGGATAGAGTTAGAAACTTATTCCAAATGTAAACAGGTATTTGTGAGTGTGGGTCACCTAACAAACGTATTTGTTGTGGCCATTGTGAAAATTTATGTGTGTGTGTTATCCATGCAATAGGGGGATCCATTTCGCCTCTCCTCGATGACGACATAAACGACATCGTGCGATGAAATCTTAAAAATGATATTTCGAGTGTATATATGATCTTTCGTGTGTATGTGATTATGTTTCGAGATAATTATTGATATTCAAGTGTATCTATATTCTTTTGATAGTATGTAGATATACATTTGAGAATTGTATATGATATTTGAGAGAATTTAGAAATTCGATCAGAAACTTGTGTAATGGTGAAAATAATAAATGAATTTTGCATTGAAACATTACTATTGTATTTGTCTCATATTGTATGTTTTGCATTAAATCTTTTAAATGAATTGAGAGAATGAAAATACTTATTGAGTTGGTGAAACTCATTAAATTTCACTCTGATATTTTTCAGATGAGAAAGAAGAATCAGAACCATTGTCAAACGAGTAGAATATGTAAAAAAGATTTATATTTTGTATATTTTGTACATATTCGAAAAATTTTCATTTTGTTTTATTAAATTCTAAATTTTGACCTCATGTTCTGTATATATAATTACTGTATATATAACATGGGATACGATATTATATGATAAATTTTGACCTGTATATATATATATATATTGTGGGTCTACTGCATGAAAATGATATAAGCAAGAATTACAGTATAGAGTGTTACATAATAATTAATACTTTCTACACTTTAATAAGATGGTATAATTTTGAGTCTGATTGTACATTCTTATGCGTCATCATTTAAGAATGTGTTTATAAATTAATTTATATATATATCATATAATTATGTATACATTACTCTAAGCCATAATTTTTCCTCTCCATTATATTTGGCCTTTTCGTTATTTTTTCTCCCATATTACTGGTATGAACACCTTTTCTTTCTGTTTTGTCCTATTATTTTTAGTGTTCACTTCGTTCTAGTTTGCATTAGCTCATTTTACCAATTTATTTCATTTCCAATATGTTTTACTCCATTCAATTTTTTCGTTGTACTGCCAAATTCTTTTATTTCAATGCAAAACATGTATTACATATCGAAATTATTTTTCTTCACAAATAATAATGATAATATGCAAAGTACCTGAAAAAAAACTATTGACACAACACAGAAAGTAATTGTGACATAACGAGAGGACACCATATAACGCCAATGTTGAACCAATATGCAACACGAGACGAAACAGCAGAAAAACATGACATGCATATAGATGGCATGGCACATGCCATGCTACGTACTGGCATGATACAATACAGTTTTACCACAGAAATGACATGAAACAAGAACGAGAGTATTTAAATAGGCCGTGCCACATTGGAAATCTCTATTAAATGCTGCCCTGTAAATTTTCCTTTCATAAATATTTAAATCTAACAATTTTTCTTTTGAAATATAAAAAAAAATTTATATATAACAAATATCCATCCAGCCACAGATTATCCTGGAATAAAGTTGGAGGACTCGAAAGCCTCCTTCAAACCGTGCAATGCAAAATATTACGCAGAGAACTTTAATTTAGCTTCAAAAGGTAGCCGTGAGTTTATTATAAACTATCTAAGATTCCTGTAAGCATATTGAATCCACAATAGATTTTCTTCTTTTATACTAGAGAGAAGAATAAGAGAGAAGTAAATAGCATGAGAATTGCAAGAAATTTAATGATTATTGCTTGGTAGACAAAAGAAAACACAGTACTCAAAGTCACTAGAATACAGTTCTCTTAAATAATTCTAACCAGTTCTTCAAATCTCATTCCAAGTATCTTACACAAAATTATCATGTCTCCAGTGAAGCAAACAATACAAACGAAAAGCTTGACCAGAAAATTGCTTAATTACATATCAAGCTATCTTTTGTTCTACCTGAAAATGCTTCATGAGACAAAGATTCTGATATTGGAGAACTATGACGGATCCACTACCAAAACCAATCACACCTTTTTTATGATTTGAACAACATCTTCATCCTCAAGCTCATGCTCCTAGAGTGTATAAAAGACCAAAAAATCTAAACCATTCAGCACTCTAACTTGAATACATAAATATATAAAGGTTAATACATCCAATCATGTAGAACTAACCTTGCCAACTCTTTGAGGCTTGTGTTTCACGCTTGACCCCCATACAAGTGCACTGCATAATTATACCGAGAGAAAGTAAATAAACAAATGATGTAAAATATAAGTAACTGATTGAACAAATATGTAATAGAAACAATGCTCGCAAAGGTACAAATATTCTCCCTTGTTAACAACTCAAGAAAGGCAGTAAATAACAGAGGATCAACATATGGCCTATCTGACAAGACCTTTGTAGAAAGAAACAGTAACTGAATGTAATTTTTTCTTCAGTCTATCAAATAAAATGTTAGAAGTGATTCCCACAATGCATTGGACCTTGCTGGCATTGGATCAAGGAACCAAAACTATGAATCATGGGAGTTGAGAAGATGCTACTCACTACTTGAATTGTTTAACCATGTCCTTGTGGATTCGTTCACAGAAGTCTTCTACTGTCCTCCTCTTGGAAGACAGAATAACGGGGTCTTCGTATTCTGGATTCATCCCCTTTGGTTTAGTGTATATTCTAGTTAAGTCAAGGTATTCCCATATCTTCTCTAGAAGACCATCAAGGTTCCACTCCAAGTGAGCACTGAAGAATAATCGTACCAGATTTCAGGAAAAATAAGCAGTGTAATGATAAAGGGTCTCAAAAAAACTTGGAAACAACTTACATTGCAAAGAAAGCAATAAATCAAACATGTCACATGGGATGGACTATCTAACACCCAACATAGTTATCAGACACCAAGCACACAAAATCAAAGTTATATCAGATGTAGTCCACAACTTACTTTAAATGTGCAATAGAAACTTTGGCAGAAAAAAAAATTATCCTTTTACCTACCTTGGTTCATTCATAATAAAATTTGCAATTATTTTAACAAAATCACATCAAACCTTTGCAATTATTTGTCTACATTTACTTTAAATCTGCAATAGAAAGTCTGGCAGAATCTTTTAACCTACCCAGGCTCATTCATCATAAATTTTGCAACTATTTACAAAATCACACCCAACCTTTTGCAACTATTTATCTATAGACAAGTCGAAAGCAGAATGTTAACAAGGAATGATAATTATCGGCCATCAAAATAGTAAATAAAGAAATAACGTACCTCACAGGACAATAGTGAGGAAGCTTATCCAAAATCTCTAGCTCTTCAAGTGTGATCTGATCGATTTTGTTAATAACATAGATGCAAGGCATATATATCCTACTGCCTTCAATGACATCGATGAGGTCATCAGCAGTTGCATCATATCTTAGAGTGATATCAGCATTGTGAATTCTGTATTCGCTACATATTGCCTTCACAGTTTCAAGGTCAAGATGTGTGTTGGCAACTGTGGAAGTGAAATTAATACCACCTTTGTCTTTCTTCCTGAAAGTAAGATTTGGCAGTTCCTTGTTCAACCTATTGTTAGAAAATGAACAAACAATTAATACATAATACTTCAAAGAAGATCTTCAAAGAGAAACAATGAGTAGATCAATAGAGATTTTTATTATGGTAAATTCATTATTTAAAAAAAATTATTATGGTCAATTCATAAATGATTCCATGAATTATATTAGTCAATGTATACCCGTTAGAAAATGATTTCTCATAAAAGATAACCATCTTCTTACCTTATTCCAAAACCCTCAAGTTCTTTCTCTATGAGACGTTTATGAGTTATTGGCTTTATTGCATCAAGGACTATTAAGATACAATTGCAGGTCCTAGCAGTGCTGATAACCTAGAATGTATTGACATGAAAATTCAACAAGTTAGTTAAATAGATGAGCGTAACAGATATAAACAAGAAACTGAAGCATCTTATAAACTTTTGGACTTGCAAATTTGGAGTATCCAACTGTCAAAAAATCAAAAGTTTCAACAAATAAGCAGTTTTCTTATTTTTTTAAAAAAATACAAATAAGCAGTTTTCAAAATCGAGGGTGCACATTTGTAGTACTGGAGCTTTATTGCATTAACATCCAAAATATGGCTGAAAGAAAATCCGGTTTTTGACATATGAACCCATTGGCTCTAGAAATGATATGTGGGAAGATGTCCTTTGGGCCTTCCGATGTCAATATGTTGATTCTTCTATGCCCTATTTCAAAAGGAAAAAGACCTCCAGGTGCCATCCATCTGATGTGAGGACCTTGGTTAACCAGTAAGTAATAAGTGTATCATGTCAGAGCAGTACGGTCAAGGAACTAGATCAAAAAGAGGAAGAATTCTACTTTTAAGTTATGTAATGAAATTGTCCTGGATTCATTTCCATTTTTCAATAAAAAAGATGGCATGAATAGAGAGTGACTTTCTTAGAGAGACGAATTTCTTGATCACCTATCTCCAAGTAAGAGGACATACTAATCAACTTAATTGTGGAAAACCTATTCTAGATCTTAATGAATGCTGGATTTTGTTATACAATGTTAGCTTTTTTTTTTTGAACAAAGAATTACCAATCATCACATTCAGAAAAACGAAAGAGTTACCAATCATATTCTAAAATCATCAACAACAATGGTATTGATACATATTATTCCTGGATGCTAAAGCCACAAAATAAATTTCAAAATCTATATAACTTTATATATCCCAAAGGTACATCTACATTCTAGTTAACATTTGGTACAATTTTATAGCATGTATGCCAATCTTGATTCATACGCTGTGACAAGTAATAGCATAACGTTTGACTTCAAAAAGCAATTGATCAGCCAACATTCCACTCAGTATAGGCTACAATTTGTTTGCAAATCCACATTTTTATTCATATTCTAAAAATAAAAATGTAATTTTGCATATTACTCCACACTTCAAAAAAAATTA